CATGTAGAGTAAGACCATGATTCAGAGCATGCGCAATGAGTATATACAAATGCATACAGAGTACATAATATATTACATCAGAGTGCATATATAACAATATCCCCCTCGCAAAAAGAGGTAACACCGAAAACAAAACATTTTCATGACAAGGAACAATAGCATAGAACAGACAATGTAATAATGTACCATCGTCTGACGTGCCAATTATCAAAGTTCAATGTTCTATGTGTGGTATGTACTATACAGAGCATTATACTGATATATACAAATGCAACAAGAGAACCACGTACATGCATTCACGATCATCTCAATCAATCCATGCAAATAATATAATAATTACATATCCTACATGTATAAAATGTCTCATCCGTTATACCGAGCTGGTCTTACGACTGACCGACCAGATCGAGTCACCTGCCGGTCAACAGGTACAGCATCAGCTGGGGCTGTAGAAGCTAACGACTGTTGACCCTGCTCATCCTGCGACTGTTGCATGGGCTGCTCTTTCTGCTGTGAAGTCGTCGGCTGTTGAGCCTTCTGAGGCGGCAACTGCTGTGGCACCTGCTGCTGCTGCGGCTGAGGCTGTTGCTGTTGTGGTGACAGTTGTTGTTGCTGCTGCTGCTGCGGCTGGAGTTGTTGCTGCTGCGGCTGGAGTTGTTGCTGCTGTGGTGCAGAACGTGTCTGTTCTGCTAACTGAGAAAGTGGTATTGAACGTGGCCGGAGTTGGTTACGGTGTCGTTTCCAGACCACATCATTTACCTGGACAGAGTAATTCATAGCACTGCAGATAGAGAGAACAACACCAGGGACCCAGGTTGTACCATGGTTTTGAAAACGTAACGCAAACACAGCATCACCCGGTTTGTATTCTGGTAGCAAATGCTGGTTTTGATTGAAAGATTGTGCCTCCGCATTCCGTGTTGTTTTCAAAGCATCATAACGTAGTCGTGGTTGGCGATTAAATAGCATTTCTGCCGGTGATTTACTATTCGCCGTAGGAGTTGACCGAAATGTCATTAGAAATCGTTGTAGTCGTGTATCTAGGTCGTCACCTTCTGTTCCCATTGCTTTCATTTTAGCTTTAAAATGACCGACATATCGCTCAGCGAGACCGTTTGTCTCCGGATGGCCGGGAGCTGAACGAGTGTGTGCGATTCCATTTTTCTGGAGAAACGAGGTAAATTCAGCACTAGTGAACTGGGTCCCATTATCACTAACGATGTGAGTGGGTAGACCGAATGTGGCAAACAAACGTCTCAAAGCTTTGATAGTACCCGTTGATGTGGCATGTGTCATCGGGACAATTTCCAGATATTTCGTATACGCATCGACAATCACCAGAAACATTTTGCCCATGAATGGACCCGCAAAGTCTATGTGCAGACGACGCCATGGACCCGACGGCCATGACCAGGTAGCATAGGATTTACTAGGTTTGCGTGCCTGTTCTTGACACGTAGCGCACATTTTGGTGGTATCTTCAATTTCGTCATCCATCTTTGGCCACCAGAAATATCGACGTGCCATACGTTTCATTCGTACAGCGCCTGTGTGTTCCGAGTGCAATTCACTCAAGAGCATCGCGCGCAAAGCCATGGGGATTACCACTCGTTCATTCCAGAGTAATACATCATTTACAATAGATAGTTCCCAGCGCTTTACAAAGTACGGCTGTAACTCCACCTCTTTCACATGCTCTGGCCAACCATTCAAAGTGTAGTGACGAACACGCTCTAGAACTGGATCATCTCCAGCATTCAATACAACTTGAGCATCAATGAGCTCGTCCTCAATGAAAAGTACACGTGTTTCACCTAGTTCCGGGGTAGAAGGATTTCCAGAAATTGGTTTTCTAGACATGAAATCTGCCAGAACATTTGCCTTTCCCGCAATGTGTTGGATGGTGTAGTCATACGCTGAAAGTAATAACTTCCATTTCTTTAATCTGGAAGAAAGCAGGAACGGAACACCTTCCTGCATGCCGAACAATTTCACCAGAGGTTTGTGATCAGTTTCAAGGACAAATTTCTTTCCCAGGAGATATTGGCGAAATTTGGTTGCACCAAACACAAGAGCGAGTGACTCCCGTTCAATATTTGAATAGTTTCTCTCCGCTTTATTCAACAGACGAGACGCATACGAAATGGGTTGGTAATCACCATTTTCGTTTTTCTGTAAAAGAACCGCACCAAGACCCGTTCCTGATGCGTCGCATTGCAAGACATGCTCCAGACCCGCCGAATAGTGCGCCAAAACCTCCGTGGAACATAAAGCATTCTTTATCGTAAGGAACGCTGTCTGTTCAGAATCTGACCATCTCCAAACAGTATCTTTCTTTAGCAGAGCGTAAAGTGGCGCCATAATCCAATAGTATACCCCCTCGACTTAGGATCAAGCTCTAGCTGGTGGTACGCCTGAGATAAATCAAGCTTCGTAAACTTCTGCCCACCATTCAACTTGGCACGAATTTCGTCTATGGTAGGTAACGGATATTTTTCTAAATCCGAATTAGCATTGATGGTGCGCGAGTAATCAGCACAGATACGTACATTTCCGTCTGGTTTTTGAACCGGAACCGTAGGTGAAGCCCATTTCGAAAATTCAACTTTGCGTATTACACCTTCCTCCTCCAGTTTAGAGAGGCCTTGCTCGTATTTCTCCCGGATTGCAAATGGTACTGAACGAGCCTTCATGTACACAGGTTTTGAATCATTTACACGCAAAGTGACCTGAGTTGAATTTAATTTGCCGACAGTTGACGTGTCAAACAAACTCTCAAATTTCTGAAGCATTTCCTCCTGCAGCTTTGCGCGTATAAGAGCATTATCAATTTCAGACTTCACCGAGAATATTTCCCTCCATTCTAGTTTGAAAAGTGAGAGAAGATCTCTGCCCAACAGAGATGGACCATTTGTATCGACAATGCGCAAAAGAACAGTGTGCTTTTGCCCATTTATTGACACTGGAAATTTCCCTTCACCTAAACAGGGGATGATGGAACCGGAAAACCCAATGAGCTGGACTGATTGAGTTACAAGAGACGACACTGGTGCACCCAATTTCTCGTAATCAGATTTGGTGATGATGGATACAGCACTACCTGTATCGATTTCCATGCAAATTGGTGAACAAACATCATTGATTTCCGCCATTACAGTATACGGAGGGTGTTTTCCACTACCCGATCGAATCTTGTAGATAGGCATATCATCAACATCACAAACAGAAACGATCTCACCTCGATCATCAGGTTCGTCATCCACGTGGTGAATTTCACCTCGTTTCTGCTTGGTGATGCAGGCTCTTTCGAGATGTCCTCGTTTCTTGCAGTATCGACAAGTAGTAGATCGATGAGGACACTTGTCAGCCATATGCAAATCAGATGTACAACGATAACAAACCTTGCCCTTCGTCGACTTTGACCCTTTCTGGTCCTGCGAGTGATTTGGCTTTCTAGATGCACTTGCTGACTTGGATTTACTGGTAGTGGTAGCTCTCATCTTGTTGACTGACTCGGACGGCGTAGATGTTGATCTAGTACTAGTAGTAGTACCTGGAGTAAGCTGCTCAGCAAACATGATGGCGCGCTCCTCCCGTAAAGCGATATCCAGCACATCCTGAAACTTCTTCGTCTTGCTGTCAGGACTAGTCAGAATCGTCCGCTTGATCTCCTGACTGTAGACTCCTGCCATAAATTGATCTTTTAGGGATCTGTCTAAATGCGACCCAAAGTCGCAGGCTACTGCCGCACGTTTCAAACGATTTGCGTAATCTACCAGCTTTTCCGCTGGTCTCTGGTTGCAATCGCGAAATTGAAAAGAAGAAGTCATCGTGGAACGCTCCACTCTGTAATATCCATTCAGTAGGTCACAAATCTGCTCGAAGGTCTTGTCCGATATTGACTCCGGCAGACAGAGGTTCCGCAAAGTGGAGTAGACGTCTTTCGACAGTGAAGAGATTAGATGTGCAATCATCTTCTTACGTACGCGTTCTTTCTCCGATGAGTTTGCACTGGCTGAAACAACACCGATGTCATTTGCGAGAAAATAAAACTCAAGCCGTTCCCGGTACTCCGCAAAGTCCCCGCCAGAAAACTGCTCCAGGGTGGCCTTCCCTGAAGAGGCCATGGTTTACCAAATTCTCGCAAGCACTCAACTAAAAAAATTATCTCAAAACAAAATTTTCATCTTCGTCGCCATTTGTTGTGTATCCACGTACACCCTACATGCAGTCTCACACGCAGCTCACCAGAGTCAACCAGCCGGCATGGATACATGTAGAGTAAGACCATGATTCAGAGCATGCGCAATGAGTATATACAAATGCATACAGAGTACATAATATATTACATCAGAGTGCATATATAACACCAGAGTTGATCATGATGGCCAAAGATCACACGATGTTTTGTATTCTGTATCTGGTCATTTCAATGTTGAAATGAACAGATACTCTCCTCTTGCAGATCCCTCACAAAGTCAACATTCTACTACTTCCAAGTTAGGAGTAAGATACGAGTGGCACTTTGAAAAATTGGGGCTGAGCTCCTTCTAACATGTTTTTTTATTTTTTTTTACTGAATACCACAGTACCATCAGATGGTCATGGTAACGTACAAACATCCTCACACAAGCAGGTTAATGCTGATCATTTCGCCTAGAACACCAATTCATGTGTCAAACGGGCTTTCTCCTACTCAACTTACAGCTGAACACGACTTTGTGGCAACATACGAGGAACCCGCAAAGCTGTCGTGGAAAGTGAGTTGTTGCTAAGATCCCTGGAATGGAGAGCAACGAGAAAGCAATAATAACATGACTGTTGAACATGAACTACTTCTGGCTAGATTAGCTCTTGTGTAATCAATGGTGCTAGTGAAGCTTGTATCAGACCCACGCTGATTTAGCCGCCCACACTAGTAGCAAGTATTACACCGGAGGCAAGGGTAGCTGCAGTTGGACCCCAGGACAGATACCCTGATGCCGTCAATCCTTTTTGTCTACTTCCAAATATCTATTGGTATTGCGAGAACAAGTTTCACAGACCACCCATGCCTGTTTTCCATACCCTTGCACAAAAAAGTGGACTTCCTGCTGCTTCAAAGAACCTAGCAAAGGATCCTCGTGAGTCGTGACCCATGAAAATTAGAACAAAATACATGTTGGAATTTCAGCATTACAGGTCTTGGTTTACACTTCAAAGGATCAACCTTCAAGACCACAGACCATGAAATACTCACAGAAGAATGAGTCGGTCGGATGACGAAAACGTGTCTTGCCCAATTGAAGCAATACTGTTGGCCTGCAAATGCCTAACAACAGAAAAGGATACAAACACTACCCTTCAAACTCAATGCTCGTTCCTTACAATATTTTTTTCAATTTGATTTTTTTAGTTTGCTCTGCATTTACAATGGTTTCCCAGGTTTCAATTCCATTGGTTGTTCTGCAGCACTGGTTGACCTTATAGTTAACTCTAAATGAAATCCATGCCGGTATTAAAACAGTAGCGCTCAACACAACTCCCAACATCCTTACAGAACTATGAGATACTTCAGTCCAGCAAAGTCAGTGTTGTTCAGCGACATCAGCAGGTTGCCTTGCAGTAATCTACCAGAAGCAGCACAGGGCAAACACACAAACAACATTCAAGATGATGAATATCAATACTATGTGATACATGGACCAAGTATGTATGAGAGACCATTTACACATTTCTTCACCCTTACACCTTCAGTAGGCAAACCATGGCAAAATGTTGGGCAAGTAAAGAGGCTTACTTCTGCCTTCAATGCATTTTATTTCACACAGGGAATAATTTAACCGGTATCGCATCGCAGTTTGCTACGCAATCCTTGCGAGGTGCGAAGCAACTTAAGATACGTGTCGCAGAAAACCGCGATGCATGTTGAGTTTTCACTGTATCCTATGAAGCAAAGTGTACATGCCAGGTGTGTCTCTTAGGGATGGAATAGATGCACTAAGCTTCGAAACGGTGCTGAGCTAAGCATATGGGCACCATGCTAGATTTGCAACTAAGGTGTTACAGTGTACTTGTGGTCTGAGCTTGCACTCTGATCAGCTCTCCAAAAGGCCAATGTTGTCAAGTGTTGAAAAAAATTGCTATGCAACATTTTCGAATTGCTATTCAAGTTTGATTTCGTGTAGGAGAATTGCTATGCAAAATATTGAAAGTAAATTTTTCCCTGTCACAGTTGGCAAAGGGTTAACATTGCGCGAAATCGCGCATCTATGAGCGACATCCACATAAACTGCTGGGACCCTGGTTGTGTACTCGAATCTCATTCTGAGCACCCTTTTTCTTCCTTTTTTCAGCCGTTTTTTTGCAAAAGTCCTCGAGCTCGATTTTTTTGATCGATCGTTCTTCAAGGAAAGACGAGTGGACAATCGATCAACAGGGCCGAGGACGAATGCGTCTGGTTGGAGTTCTTGCGTGGCACAGGATGACCAGACACACATATAGATACATTGCGACGATCTAATCTGCACAGTGTTTCCTAATACCGCACGCACGACGGTAAGTACAATTCATGTGATTTCAAATTGTTTGTGATCTACAACGTCGCAAGCAGGACGGAAATACAGCAACAGCACGACAACCGTTATACCAGGCAGTAACCAACAGTCACCTCCATCACATTCTCCAGATCAGAAGGCAAGTGAGGCAGTGAACATGAAGAAATAAAGTATGAAAGAATGAAAAGTGAATAATTCAAAAATCTCAGAAACGTTGAACGTAAAAAACACTGAGAACAAGGAAAGTGACTTACTTCGATGGCGAAAGACAAAGCGAATGTTCCTCGTATGGACCTGGCTCTTGCGGAATCAGCCACACTGTGGAACCATGTGTTTGATTCTACAAGGGATGGCTACCTGCTCCTCACCAACCAGCCTCCACGACGGTGGTAAAGTCGCCAAAAATACGAAAGTTGAACATTTTGTGCATGCATGCAATAGAAAATTTGTGCTGAGTATGTCGAGTGGCCATTCGAACAGGACAAAGCCGTTGCGCAAGCTGTGACCCTGAAATTTCGTCCATTGGTAGCGAGGGTAACCCTGAGCTGGAAAGTGCAAGGGATGGCATGCTACACTCCCCCGCATACGCTTGACAGCACGATTTGAGGCGTGGAGTAGTAATATACCAGTATCTTACTACCCCCTGATACCTGATGCATGGACGTCGTCATCTTCATCCCGCAGATCGAAAATGTACAGGTGTCGCGTGATTTCGCGCAATGCGTTGGTACTTACAAAAATTCAGTGTATATGCTGATCTCCTTCGGTACAGATGACAATGCTCTCCAGCTGCAGTTTGTCTGCACAAATGCAGAGGCGACTGCTGTGCACTCGCACTTACTAGGACATTCTGGGAGTCAACACCAACATGGAGGGCAAAAACGAGAATAGAACAGGGCAGGCACAGCTTGACTCATACTTGCATCTATGGAGGCACTGCTTGATTAGAGTACACACTCAGATACAAGACACACTTCTCAGCCATAACATGCAATAGTTATGCAAACCAACTTGAGAACCTGCTTACCATTTCGGACATCCAACGAGCAATTGTCCAGTGCAAAGTAGGGCTGGCAAAGGCATTGCCCAGTCCGCGGAACACATGATTGTGTGTTTGACGTCACACACTGGCATGGCAATGAACAGTCACGACCATACAAGTAAGTCCCTCCCAGCAGTGAGCAGCCTGTGAAGAAAAGAGAGGGAATACAAGGGAGAGGTCAGGCCAATTGCAGAGCGAACAGTTTTGTGTCAAGGAAACAAGAGGAAAGAGAGACGGAAATCAGGCAGCGGAGCAACGAAAAACAGGTTACTTCATGTCATTGTCAGTGATTTACTGTATGCGGATACTGTGTGTATGTGTGTGTGCGTGTGTTTTGGCGCGGGGAGGGGAGGGGGGGGGGGGGGGTGACATACCACAAGCATCCGCTTCTGCCGGATAGGTACTGTTTACATCCAATTTCCAGGTCACGTTGTTCGCCCATTGCTGAAGGCAAGGGCAGTTGAAGAAGTTATTCTTACAGAACCTGTGCACAGTGAAAAAGCCACACTTGCAAGATATTGTAGTGCTACTACAACAGACAACGTGAACAGGCGAAAAAGTTTGAGAAAAAGTTCAACTTCTCTCCACCCCTAGACACCACACACTCACACAGCCTCTCCACACCTAGACACCACTGTCATTCCTATCCAGTCGTCGCAACTATGGAGGGAAATCCTCCTCCAGTTAAAGAACATGCCAGAAAATTTGAAGCCCGGTCCATCACGCTGCCATACTATAAACTAGTCCCTAAATTTGGGGAGGGACAGTTGACTGCACCAAACATTGAATACTATGCAATGGATACTATGCAATGAATACTATGCAATGGATAGTCAAGCCGATCACTTACAGTCCTAAAGATGTCAAGTTTACTGCCGAGCGTAGAAATTGGGTGTGATTGAAGCCAATCAGTTCGTTACTGCTGATATTCCTGCACAGCAGAGCACAGTTAGCAGGATAGGATAATAGTGAATTACTGTCGGCAGCTCAGGAACTTCACGCACCCAGTCAACTATGAACCAGTGTGGTACTATTTCTAAATGCATGCCAGAAAGGCATGCCTTAACGTATACCTTGTGTAGGTGTTACCTACATCTTGCTGATCCTGACAAAAAAAGCAGTGCATTATTTTGCTGTTGATCAACTGCCATGGCCACCATCACTAGCACCGGCAAAGCACACCAGGATCAGGACAAGCACCAGCAAAACCATATAGGATTTCGAGTGGGTGAGAAAGTGCCTCCTCGCTACACCCATGCACAAATTCACTTACAAGACTTGGAGGCTAGATGCTTCTTTCAGCACTAGATTGGTGATATTGTTATTCTGAAGATATCTGAAAAATCAAAGCACGCCATAAGAAGATGATTTGTTTCCTTGCTGAATTTCACTCACTTTGAGTAAAAGGGAGTCTCATTCACATGCTACAATGATGGAACCAGTCTAAGGCGACCGTTCAATGTACCTTACAACTGTGGTCCACATGTACAGGTGGTCTTCCTCCCCCTGGTCATTCGACTGGAAATACCACCCCTTGGTCCTAGTTGTCCTCTAGGATAGGTGGTCTCCCTATCAGGGTGGTCGCCTAGACAGGTTTTACTGTATTCCGCCACACGGATTTCAACTCCAGCCCTCACCAACGCTGTACAAAGCGTCACTGGCCCGTTTCTCAACGGTCGCGCAAATCGACCAATCAGCGTACAGCTAATGTACCAAAATTCTCAAACTTACCGTAATTCCTTGGTTCATACGGTGTAGTTTCCAAAGATTTTTTATGGGCCAACGTCTTCTTTCGATAGATACCAACAGATCGTCCGCTTTGAATTTTTCGATTTGATTGCCGTTTGGCCGAAAATTACCTCCGAAACCGGCCTCCACTCGTTTCACTTCAAGGGTTTCCAGGTGGACGGCATCGCAATTCGGAAGCGGAGAAAGGATAGCCAGTGAAAAAAGAAAAACAACGACGTATTGGTTGTCGAAATCGACCAAGAAATGAATTCAATAGACCTGTTTCCGTGCTGCGCCCTCGCGGCCCGCGCGAGTGCGAAAGGGATTCTTTCTCGACAAAACAAAGAACTACTAGTACGCGCAGTACACTGACATCACTGCACTGGCTGTATATACCTTAGGAATATCCTGTTCTTTTCCAAGGCATGATTGTCGCTAGTGGGAGAACTCAGCCACCTGAAGCTTTCATAAAGGAAGAAGTAGTAGGTGAATGAGTTCGCCAGAAAATGGAACGACAAGAAAATAGATACTGTTGCTTTCCGGGGCGCTCATGACACGACGGCAAGATAGGACTGAAACGATCGACAGTCTGCCTCGACGCAAAACAAACTCTTCTAGGAGGAGCTCGACGTGCTGTAGAGTTTGCAGTATTCTGCTGAAAGAAGACAAGAGAACTAAACTCAGACTACAGCGT